AAGCATCTTCGCATCCGTGATGGTGTGCGCGCATCGTAAAAATTCACCCTCATCCTATTTCTATAACGTCCCAAAAGAAATATAACTTCAAAAATTTAATTTTTTTGACAATTATTAAAATTTTTAAAATAATGTACATAATTCTTGTGTAAATTCTTTTCCAATCTTTATAATGAATCGAATTATTTTAACGGACGGTAAAGTCATAATTATTTTTAAGCAAAAATTTGATTCAAAGAGATAGCACAGAAAAAAAAAATTATTTGCGGTCATTCAATAACTTTACATCCCGGGACGTCTTAAAGCATGGGCCAACTGGGCCCAGGCACAAGGCCTCACCCTTTTTGTGGGGGCCTCGTTTCGTTATCGACCGTGTCTTAATAAGATCATGATCCGGATAATTTTAATGGTCAAACATTATTCGCGAACATATTCCCCGAAATACAGGGAGTTTCAAACTGCATGTCAACTGAAAAAAGTGGCATGGTAAGGTTATTGGTAAGGTGAGCGGTAAGGTTAGTATGTGATGACCATTGTCCATGTCTAGGCCAAGGTTTAGTACCACAAACAGTCATTCAACTCATTTAGTTGAAATGCGGCCATCGGTCGAGCCGGTTTGCGCCTAGATTTTTGATTGTGAGTCGTGCACATTTACTTGTTTCAAATGACCGTTTGAACGAGTATTTGACTATGCATGCTATATACTGTCTACTTTTAAAGATCTCAGGTAGGGTCACTTTCGCATGAAGGCCAAGGGCCTCAAAAATCTTAACATTTTTCTGGACCCAGGGCTTCAACAGTCTTAAGACGTCATTGTACACACTACACCTATATAACCTCATTTTGCCGAATTATCTCAATACACAATTTTTATATAAAATACATTTTTTTCATTGGCAGTAAGAGGACAGTTCTAAGTAGAACAAATTATATATTCAGAAAATATGAGGCTAGAAACTATGAGAACTGAAAACATATAAACCTTTCAATAATACTTATTAGGTTTGGCATTCTTCTATGTTCGGAACAAAAATTTGAACTGAAATTAATTCTGAGCTTTTTCGGATTTTTAATAATAAACAACTCAGAACTTATTCTTAAATATATAACTTCAACTTTAGATGAATTAAATTACAATTACAAATGAGAATTTTAATAATTGTCAAAAGAAATTATAAAAAAATACTGTAAATTGTTTTTGGGGCCCGGTGGCAAACGAGGGCCCTAATTGCACCACGGCTTAGAGTTTTATAATTTCGGAATCTATACTCGACGAGACCTTTCTGATGATGTATAGATTTTGTAAATAGTATGATACCCCGGAGCCCAAAATTGCACCATCGCTTAGCAAATTGAGTCAAAAGTTCCCCTACATACGTTCTATCCGCAGTTCAATTCACGAAAGAAAATTCACATAAGTTTCGGAGTTACGAGACGAATTCCAAAAAGGGGTTATTGCCCCGCAGGGGGCCTCTCCCGGGATTGTAGTACTTAGAAATTTAAATTTTCTTGTTCTCCTTGACGAGACTTTTCCAAAATTGTATAGTTTTACAAACAATTCTATTAGTTCGGGAGTTATTCGCGAAAACCGATTATCCTTAAAAGTTCACGCCTGTGGAATATACCTTTCACCTGTAACTCGAAATAGGCAGATCGGGCGTACTTCCTGTCGTTGCCAAACACTACGAATGGAACAAATAATTGTTCGAGTTCGATGACGTGTCGAATGACGTCATTCCCGATTAAAATAGACTAAACTTTGCATTTTATATTGGTTTTTTTTTTCGACTTTCGAACATGGAAAAAATTTGTAAAAATTTCTTTTTTTTTCTTTTTTTTCTATAAATTTCGAAAAAAAAAGCTAATGACGAAAACTAACAAAGACTTCGACATTCCCGAGAAAAAAAAAGTGCTTTCCATTCAAAAAAGTTTGAAATGTTTCTTTTTATTCATTTTCCAGTCTTTGATAAATTTTTGAAATTTAGGCTTTCAAAAGTTTTTTTTTTGGTTTTTTTTGTTTTTTTTTTTGCGAATTACTTTTTAAAAAATAAATGTATTAAAAATTTTTTATGATAAATGAAGAATTTTAAATTCCTCACCGAAAGAGGGGCAATTTGTTTAAAACTATCAAGAACCTTTTTTTTATTTTTTTTTTTATGAATTTTTGAATCTTGGAAATTTTTTCAAAGTCACCTGAAAAAAAATTGTTTCTTTCTAATAACTTTGGTAAATATAGCAGCGCTTTGTTAACATGGAATTCGGAAGAAAAAGACCTTTGAATTCCTCACAAAACTAGGTACTTTTTGTCATAAAAAGTTCGGTGGTTTTTGTTTTATTCGTTTTCGAGACTTTTTAAATAAATTTTTTATTCTTTGAAAAAAATTGAAGAAAAAAAAAACGTTTTTCCCGGGTGCCCCCTTTAAATTCAGAGCTTATAAAATTTAAACTTGAGCTCACCTCAGCGGGCCTTACCCTACCTTCTATCCTAGGACTTAGAAAATCGACTTTTCAGTGCAGCTCGACGGACCCTACACATGGTACATCCCAAAAAGGTTGGCCCATCGGAAGTTAGAAATTTATGTTTTTGGAATGTACTCCACGGACCCTTTCAAACGGTGCGTACCGCGAGCAGAAGTCCACTTCAGGTTTTCTTATTAGCGATTGAATTTCGCTTCTTTCCGCTGTTCCGCCAACAGTGGCATCGAAAATTTCTGTGTCCGACAGAAGAATTTTCTTTTGGAAATAGGGGGAAAGGTCACGTAATTTGACAATTGCTGGCCAAAACACGTATCCAGAAGATCTGTCAAAGCGTTTTTCTCAAAAAACGCGATTTTGGTCCAAAAATCCCGTCGAAGTAAACAGGCGTTACAGGAAAAGGGGCCATAATCCCCGACATAGCTCATGCCGGTCCACCCGTCACAGACGAAAAGTTCATCAATCATAATTGGGTATCGTTTTTACTTATATAGGGAGCAGTGTCTGGGTGGACGTCGAGAATGCTCCAAGTGAGAAAAGCGCTAAGTCCGAAGTGCGTTCTCGCGCCAACGGTCGTGTCTTGGTGCCAGTGGAAAACTGGCATCGACATCCTGCCGCGGCCGTGGGTGTTCGTCACCTTTTTTCCATCGAGGCACGACACTGTGGCGTCGCCTCGTGAGCAAAATTGTTGCTCTGCACTCGAGCCGCTGTTCGTGTCTTGGTGCATGTGGAAATATGGCAACGACATCCTGCCGCGGCGGTGGGTGATCGTCACTGTTTTGCGTTGAGGAACTACGCTTTTGTCCGGTCGCGTCTTGGTGCACGTGGAACGATGGCAACGACAAAAAAAATGGTGCTTGGAACGCCACGCGATAGAAGTGAAACTTTTTTGGTGACATTGGAACATTGATTATTTACCCTAATGTTCCAAACTGACCGAGTACATGTCTCAATCGCCTAATTTGCATGAAAGGTATTCGTGGCGAAATGAGTCCTTATACTAAATCCAAAGCAGAAAGATGTCCTGGAATTTCTGGGTATACACAAGCACATTATACTTTGATAACTTTGGTATACTTTTCCTATTTAAATTTTGTCGGCAACTGTAGCACGCTTTAATGTGTGTCTTCTAAATTAATTCCCGGTAAAATATTTTACAAAATATTTTTGTGCTCAGCAAAAAAACAAAAAAACAAAAAAACAGACGTTCTCAAATCATCTCTAAACCATAATCTATAGTAAATTGAACACCCGTATCAACTGAACGATTATCAACGAATCGCTTTTGTAAATCTGTGTGAGCATTTTGATGGGAATCATAGTCTTCGTAACGTAAGATCGCATTTATTATTCATTTATATGCATCAGTTCCAAAACGCACTACACTTCTTGAGGGCTCTGTAGTTAATAGCACAGGGGGTGGTTCACTAAGTCTATATTATTCTGTGCTGTCATTAGAAGTCTCAACAGCATTCCCATCCCTTAATTGATTGATTGATTGATTGAATATTAACATCGCACTGTTCAGCTACACGAGGGCTTTTCGGCGACGGACCACGTAATTTTAAACCATGGTCAAGTAACGTGGACGACACATGAGCCGACAACCCCCTCTCCTAACTACCACACCACACCAACGGAAGGAAGTTTCAGCTCTCGACAGATTTAACGAGCATCTCTGCCCTGATTGATTGAATATTAATTGATTGATTGAATATTAACGTCGCACTGTTCAGCTACTCGAGGGCTTTTGGCGACGGACCACGTAATTTTGAACCATGGTCAAGTGACGTGGACGACACCTGAGCTGGCACCCCCTCTCCTAACTACCACACCACACCAACGGGAGGACGTTTCAGCTCTCGAAAGATTTAACATGCATCGCTGCCCTACACGGCGGGTCTTTAGTGGTACTGTCTCGAACTCGTGGCAAAGCAAGCCACGGTTCGATACCCATATATATACCACTCGGTTACCTCGGCCACTCAGATCCCTTAAACTGAGCATTAAGAGAATATTGTGCAGTGTTTTATTCCCATGCTCGATATTCTCTCATGTACTCTGACAGAGATTTGGCACAGTAGCACTTAATAAATTTGCAATTTTTTTTTTCCTTGGTCACTTTTTTGAATGAACTCTTGCTGCTAGTTTTTCTTTTTGAAGCTATACTTATTTTGGGGCGTTAGAGAAATATGATGAGGGTGAATCTTTACGATGCGCGCGAACACCGACACGGATGTGACGCAAGACCGTCACGGATGCGAAGATGCTTTGTCTAGAGATATACAAATGTTACAGATCATATATCCGCCTTTGAAACTCTCGGGTTTGAACAGGAGACCTTCCAACATGCAGTCGAATACTTTACCGCTGAGCTATACACCCGCGCCAGCGAAACTTTGCTTTGTTTTCCGTAGGAACGGATAACAAAATGCTCTTTGTCTAGAAATATACAGAACGGAACAGATCATTGCCGCCTTCAAAATTCTCAAAAAAAAAAATATTTCTCTTCACTTCCCTGAAGAAGAGGAAACTCGGATTTGAACCGAGGACCTCTCGATCTGCAGTGAATGCTGTATCACTAAGCTATATCCCTGTGTCCGCGAACCATTGCTTTCCGTAGTTACGGATTCGAAAATGCTTTGTCTAGAAATATACAGAACGAAACCCATCATTCCCGCCTTCGAAATTTTCAAAAAAATATTTTTCTCTACTTTCCTGAAGAAGGGGACACAATGGTTTGAACCGGGAACCTCTCAATAAGCAGTGGAATGCTCTACCTCTGAGGAGCTTCTCTGATGTATTTGTTTGAACACTTTTTGTTATTAAGCCAAACATACTTAAATGAAAATTTTTAAAAAAATTGTAGATTAATCTTTAAATTGTGTTTCATGTACATAAAACATAAAAGTAAATATTAGTTTACCTATTTAAATAACAATTGCAAGTATATGATTATAGATGTATTTACTACGAACGCAATGCAATGAACATAGACACATTTATATACTACATTGTAGCAAATTATAAGAGCCTTTTGTATTCGTATATTTATTTTTGAAGTTTTCCTTCTTTTTGGGCGTTAGGGAAAAAGGATGAGGGTAAATTTTTACGATTTTAAATTTTTACCTTCACGACAATAAAGCGCGCGCACACTGCTGTTTAATATTTTAACATGCCACTTTTTTGGTGATATGGGACTGATATTTGGGGGATGATAATAACTATTTCTATAAACCATATCTGTTGGGATGCATCCTCCCTTTGCATTCCCCCCCTACAGCTTTTTGGCCAATATCTCGGCACCCGAGCCTCACAGTCCATTAGGACTTGGCTCATGTGATCCCTGTCTGTCTCTTCTCTTCCAGTTATTATAAGTTCATGCTCATAGGGATATTTCTTCTATAGTTTTTAATTGTCTTAAACTTTTTGAATTTTTTTAAATTCACAATATCTTGGCTCCTGTTCGAGTCTCGGACTTGAGATATGAACCAAGTGTTTCACTCGTAGAGACCCATCCATTCATGTACTTCATTCACATTGTTTAGGCCTGAGGAGGGCTTAAGCACTAAAATATCATGTTCTCATGTTAATCCTATGTGGACTGGAAAACATTTCACCCACCCCCACCCTAAGAAATTGAGTTTGGAACATGATTTTTGGAGGTACTCCATATTTTCGTACTAGCTGGTATACCCGTTCTTCGCACGGGTGAATTGAAAAATTAAACAATACAGACTGAAGGATAAAGGAGTTTTTAATGAGTTAATTTTGCGGGAATTGTAAATTAAACAAAAGGAAGGTTTTTGCAAATCTTAGCTAAATAAAAAACCATTTTTGCTTAATTTTAATTCTGTAGATATAACAGCTGATAAAAAAGATTTTTTATTTAAATTTGTAACGCCCGTGTAATGTGTAATATGTTAATATTAAATCTCTATATACAATATTGAATTTATTGAACAATCTCTCTATATACAATATTAAATTTACTGAACAATCTCTCTATATACAATATTTAAATTTACTGAACAATCTCTCTATGTACAATATAAAATTTAATGAACTATCTCTCTATGTACAATAGTCAATTCAAAACAGTAGGGGGAAACGAATCGGCAAGAAGGGGGGAGAGGGACGCGTGATCTTTGACACTGTTGATGGGGTGAGGACTGGGTTGGATGAAACGAAGCCGCCGCAAGCAAGGGGTGAGAGGGATGCATGACCTTTGACACTGTTGATTGAAATAAATTATCCCTATTTGAAACGGATATTAATCACCATTTCATTGGTATTAATTTTATTCTCGTGGAACCCTAATTTTTTTTCTATAATAAAAGTAGCCTAAGTTATTTCTTATAACATTAGCTATCTGCCAGTGAAAGTTTTGTCAAAATTGGTTCAGTCGTTTCAGAGATTAGCCTAAGCAAACAGTCAGACTGACAGACAAACAAAAATTTTAAAAATTGATTTTTTCATATAAGTACCTCACATACTTTTAAATGCATTTAGTAAAAAGCTGTTAATTTCAAATTACAGACAGTATAGATTAGCGCGAGCTTTAAGTGGAATTGCCCTCCCTCCCCCTACAGGGCTTCCCATAAAATAAGTCGAATCCTATGCCATCTTGGTAGACGGTACCGTCTGGATTCCATTGTTCTTCTTATGAGCATCCCAGATATATTTTTTCAGGACCATAGCCTCATTCCTTCACCCATATTTAACATTTTAAAATTATTTTAAAGTTATATTTTTTTTTAAATCCCACATACCTCCGAGGAGTTTTGAGATTCGTTAATGAAACTCGGACCATAGGTTCTCCTCGTTGAGCTGTTTCATATGTTATAATTCATGAGTAGATAGTGGGCTTAGAGGGGGGCGTTATCACTAAAATTAGAATCCCTATGTTTTTCTATGGGGTTCGATCTTTTGATGACGTAACGGTATTACAGAGACAGAAGGATGAAACTTTGGGATCACCTACTACTCAGTGTATCGTTAGGATGTACATGACCATTTACGTCACAGTTGTTCCACTCCGGGGGGAGTTAATTTCGTTTTCCTTTCTCGAGCTAGCGCCNCCCAATTTGCAACTACAGACTCCGGACAGATTCTAATAGATTCCTCTTGTATTTGCTCACAACCAGGCCCAGTTTCGAGTTGCTGGGTACCTTGCTTCTATTAAATGTTTTAATTATTTTAAAGTGACCATAACTCGGGGGCTCTTCAGGTGGTTGTCTTAATTTTCCCAGAAACGATTCTTCCCGCCGAGATATTCAATATGAGGTCTCAGATATCAAATTCGGCTCACTTCATTTCCAGATACAGTCTGATACCCCTCCCCATGTTATTGGTCTTATTGTTCTTGTGCGCGGGGTGTTTAAATTTATTTAAATCGTGATTATTTTGGCTAGTCCAATTGACTGAAGGTTAGTATCGTTCAACTCTGCTCGTCACCGCCTTTCGCCCTTGGCCCAGCTTTTCCTGCTAAAGATTATTAGAAAGATTTTAACCTTCCAAGTGATCTGCACGTAAAATTTCGCTATTCTAGAGATTCTTTTTTTGCATTCATATAAGATTCTCAAAAGCGGTTGAGATCCGTATTTTCAAAAATACTGCTTAACCGCTTTTGAGAATCTTACTTGAAGGCAAAAAATACGTGCGGTGCATTTTCAAAGCATCTCTAGAATGGCCGGATTTTACGTGCAGACCGCTTGGAGGGTTAATATTGTTACGCCAAAAAAGTATGACTTCTTACGTGCGTGCATAAGTACACACACAAACTTTTTTTTTGGCAACTAACCCGGAGGGAACAAGTAGTGTTCGAGCCTTTCTAGAAGGAAAAAAAATATTTTTCAAGAAATACTTTTGTCTTAAATGTACCTATATCAGGAATGAAACATTTAAAGGGGAGTTTTCTCACTCTTTTTCCAGTTTTTCGGTAAGCTGTTCAATCGTTCGAAATGTGTAAAATGGCTCCCAAGGTGTAAAATTCGGTATCCCGAAAAAATGTTGAACAAGATAGAGTGTGTGTTTTAGGAATTTATTCTGTTATCGGTTCAGACTTATCTATGGGAGAAGAACGTTGAAAAATGGTTCACCCCAAAAAAATAAAATCCGTGCATGCTCACAACTAGATTGAGTATAAATTCTGTCAACTGCAATTATGAATGTAGAATTGGAATTGATCTGAGCTTGAATGTGAATTGATGTGAAATAAACTTACTTATAATCCAAATAACCTTATTCTGAAGAGACTCATTTTTAAACACAAAAAAGACAGATTTGTATGTATAGTCAACCTCAGTATAACGAATCTCTATATACTGGTGATTTTTCTATATATCTAACTTTTTCCTGGAACCTTGAGCATTTTTCAATTTTCTTCGTGAAATTATCTCTCTATCGTGAAGTCCATTTTCTATGAAATGAAATTTTCTTTTGGGATTCAATTTTTTTTCTCTCTTTAATACATTTTATAGTGGTCATAAATCTTGAACTGGTTTTATTAGATCTTAACTCGCCGAGAACAATAAAGTTTTGGACGTTTCATCGAAGTGCAACCTTTAAACCCAATTTCCAGTACACTCTCTTTCAACCTCAGTGGAGTTGACCCATGTCCCCGTGTTATAATTATAAAATAATGTATGTTTAATATTACTTGTATGCTTTAAATTATAAAATGTCCTTAAAATTCATTAATTTTAGGATAAAATTATTTTCTTAATATTCAAAATACAGTGAATTCTTCGACACTCTTTTTTTTGTTTTAATTGCAGTTTTTCTTTCTTTCTTTTTTCATGAGTAAAATATATAAAATAAAAATATATTAATTTTAAAAAAAGGTATGAATAATTACTTTTTTCAATATATAGAGTCTATGATTTTAAAATTTGTTTTAAGTGGTTTATAAAGTACATTAAAAGATGAGCATTTATATATCGAATTTTCCATATAACGAACTTTTTTACGGCATTTAGCTAGTTCGTTCTACAGAGGTGTCCGACTATGTTTTAATTGTATATCAAATTACTAGTTTTCTCGAAAAAAATAGCTTAAAATACATTTTAGAAAGACACACACTCAAAGGCTCTATATAGTTGCTCGACTTTATGCAGTTTATAATACATAGTTTAATAAGAACATCATAATGTAAATGTTCTCTATGTTTTAAATGCGGTAAAAAGGAAACAAGTATATCAAAAAGTTCTACCCGGAGCATTTTTTCTTATTTTGTGTGTGTGTGTGTTGTGAGCATTTTATATTCAAATAAATAAATTTACAATAAAATAAAAAATTCCTGAGTTAGGAAAAAAGATATTATTACATTCAATACGATGTAAAAATATTTTTTAATAATTCTTAGAGATAAAAATTTTCGATATAAAGCAGATTTTAAAGGTGTTTATAGACAAATTTTTCTTTGAATATAAAAATAATTATTTTTTTCACTATTAAATAAATGTCTTCAATTATGCGTATTTCAAAGCATTGGAAAAATATTAAATATAAAATGTTATTATTAATAATACTAATGTTAATCGTAGTCTCTATTGACAATCTAAGTAAAATTACCCAAACAATTATTGGGTTAGA